TTTACATAAACTCTCTTGGTTCTTATTTTTTCCTACATTCTCTTGCCCTCCATTTAATCACTCCATCCCTCCCCATTTGCAAAGACTTTGTTTCCATTTTTTCATTTTTTCATATTAATTCCATTCCCTTCTTTCTTTTCCCCTACCCCTTCCACTTCCCCTTCCCCTAAGGTATAATAGATAATGTAATATTGAAGAAATATTTTTAAATTACAGACTAACAGACAATATAAAAATTGTGCGAACATTTTGTGAAGGAATATAATAAAGTGAGCAAAAAGTCAATTGCAAAAAATATATGCTTTAGCATAGGATTATCATGAGAGAATGACAGAAATGCAAAACAGGAAATATGGATTTTCAACCATTAAAGATGATTATATTCAAATATTTTGAATAAGTGAAGGGGGATATTAAATCACAGCAGTATTCACTATCAATTGGATACAGTACTTTGAAAGGTGAAGTCTAACATGTCACCCTTTTAATATACTAGAAGTTTTATCTTCCATGCAGCTATTTGAATTGATAATGAAAAATGTCTAAGTAAACCAGGCATGGTGGCATAACCTGCAATGCCAGCACTATGAGAAGCTAAGGCAGGAGGATCACAAATTCAAACCAAGCCTCCTTAACTTAGCAAGGCCCTGTCTCAAAATAATAAAAATAAAAAATAAAAAAGGGCTGGCAATGTAGCTTAGTTCAAAGGCCTAGGGTTCAATTCCTGCTACTGCAAGGAAAAAAACGTCTAAGTCACCTTAAAGTGTTCAAGGATGAATATAAAGTTTTCAAAATTATCATATGGGCTATCTTATCTGAGCAAAACAAATTGAAGACCATTAAACCATCTTAGTTATCATTAGATACACAATAATCTCACATTTTAAAAAACCTACAAAGACAGCTGTTTTAATAAGACAGTCCCTCCTACCCACCTATGGAGTCTTTAAATCAGTAATTTCCCTAAAGTGTAACATAATAAAGGAAAATACACTGAAAACCTAGTGCTTTTTAGACAAAGACTGAGCCTTCCAATTATTAAAAAATTCTGACTGATATATTAATTCTATTTAAAACAATTTAAAACTGTACCTTTGTCATCAATATTGTATTTATGTAAAGAAACTAAAAGGCAACCTTCAGGCAGCTTTTCAATTCATGAGAAAATTATGTGTATAAATTCTCATTATTACAATGGATATAGAATTACTTTAATTACAATCCAGATTTCTTGCTCAGCTCTCAAGATATCTGTAAGCAAAGATACTAATCACTGGTAATGACTCTTGTCCTATCAGTCATGTTCAAATTCCCTGTTTCTCATGTGTCTTCAGGAGGTTAAATCTAGTCCAGTGGAGGTGAACCTATGGCACATGTGCCAAACCAGGCTATTTGTATCACTGGAAGCTCTACAAGTTCATCATCACTGATCTAGTCTTTCAGACCCAAAGTGTGTACCAGGCTTTCAGACACCTTATCCTGCCTCCAAACCTTACATGCCAATGTCTCAGCAGCAGTTTCTGCCAGTAGATGCAGGATTTGAGATGAAATGATCTTTCAAAACAGATGAGTCTGAAGACAAAGGCATATGGTACAAAATAATCACATATTTCTCGGTATCACACAACCCGATGAGCTGGGATGAACTAAGTAGGCAGTAAGAGAAGGAGGAAAAAGAATCTTTCCACCACTTTTCAGAGTTTCATTGCCTGTTTTCTGCAGTTTTCAGCATGCACGTCTCACAGGAAAGCAGAGGCCAAGAGCGCTGAGGATTCTAACCTCTTAAGAATCCCAGGCTGGGTCTAAATTCTACTTACGCAACTCGAAGTGTTTCTAGTCTCCACAGGGAACGTGCATGGACAGACACAGCACCACCTTCATAATGAACAGTTCTGTTGAAACAAAAAAGTCCAATTTTAACATGTTTTGTCCTTTCGTCTCTACTTTTCAAGTGAGTTATTCATGAAAGAGAAAACCAAAAGGGATAGGTTGTGGATAAAGTTATTTCTTTTTTATATTAAAGCCCAGCATAGGTTCAAAATCACCCTGGCCCATCCATTAGGGCCTGAGAGTTTCATGTACATCAATGAGCAGTAACTAGAGCAGTGATTTTCAATCACAACTGCATATAATAATCCTGTGGATAGCTTTTAAAATTCTATGTCATGCCCTCATCAATGACCACTCACAGAGATCTGGAGTTAGGATCTTTTTAAACTCTGTACTTGGGTGAAATGGGGAACCAAGGCTTGGACCCCATGTTCTAGGTAGATTTCTCCATGGTCACGCTGTTTTGGGGGACTGAGTCATTCTTTGTTACAAAGGTTGCCCTGTGCATCACTGCTTTCAGGACCGTATCTTCCACTAACTAAATCTCAGAGTTAGCCTCCCATGGGAAATGACAATCAAAATTGTCTCAGACATTGCCAAGTGTCCCATGGGGGACAAAAATCATTCCCTGGTACACAGCAATTGCTTTAGATGAGTAACATTTAGCCCTTTGTGAGGTGAAATCTGGAGAACCTGTTAAAACCCACATGGCTGGTCCCATTGCCAAAGGAGGCCTAAGGTGAGGCCCATGACTCTGCAAAGTTCACAAGTCCCCAGGGATACTGATTTTGCTGGTCCACATATTGAGAATCACTGGGTAAGACCTGTTTTTTCACAGGATAAAAGACTTAATCTTGGTTGTATATTGGAGTCACCTGGCAACTTTTAAAAAACCAGTGAAGACAGAGTATTCAGATTAATTAAATCACAGTCTCTGGGTATATGTTGAAAATTAATGAATGACAAAATATAGACATTGTATTTCAGCAAATGTATTCGCACATATACAGATCGATGCACACATAGAGACATCTACTTTTTAAGTAAATCTGACTTTTCATGAAGGTTTTATTCCTAACCATGAAGAATACTGTATCAGATTTTTGAAAAAGTAAAGATTCTTACTGCTATTGTTTATATCTAAATGTCCTCACCAAAGCCTCATGTACTCATAGGTGAGGCCTTGGGGAGGTGATTGGATCATAACAGCAGGATACTTACCAGTTCATAAATGTGATGTGGGGAGGTGAAGCCTGCTTGGGGAAATGGATCACTGGACACATGGCCTGAAAGGGTCTATCTCCCTCCTCCCCCTTCATCTGTCTCTGCTTCCCACCACCAGGCCATGAGCTGTGTCCCCTCTGCCATGCTCCTCTGTCATGCTGCACTGCCTTGGAGCCTGCTGACTATGAAATGAAACTTCTACAAACTGATAGGCAAAGTAAACCTTTCAGCCCTAGACTTGTCAGTGTAGAGTACTGTGCCTCAGTGACAAGTAACTAGTATGTTTACTCTTCATATTTGTTGATCATAAACAATAAAACTTAGAAATAATAGTAAAAAGATGAAAATATAACCTCTTGGAAAATAAAAAACTTTCCAAACTTATGAATCAAAAAGGAATCAAAGTTATTCCCTATATAGAATATAATGGAAAATATTCATGCCAAATTTGTGATTCACATGTAAACTTTGAAAATTTTTAGCCTACAATCCCTTAATCATTAAAGAAAAAACATGAAATTAAAGGAAGTGAAAATTGTCTGAAGAGAAAGGAGAACAAAATACTAAAAGAAAATAGAAGAGGTTATCATAAATATGATGCAGGAGCATAAATAATGCATGTTTGCGATACAACAATAAACCACTATGAATCCATCATATTTTTGTATATACAGATATATGAGTGAAGTTAAATAAACATCAAAATGTTAATTGCTTCAGAAAAGGATAGAGAAATTAAGGTTAAAATGAAATAGTCTTTAAGATACAAATAGCATAAATCTATTTACATGTAAAATTATATATATAATTATATATACATTATATATCTATAATGAAGATGAAGAATTGCATTCAAATATTTTATCTTTCAAAACTTTTAATGTAGTTTGAATTTTTTTTATTTAGGTAGAAATCTAATACTGTTTTTAATTAAAATTTTAGGATACAAATATAAAGTCAAAAGGAAACTAGGATTCTCTTTCCTACTAGAAATATTTGTAACTTTATCCTTATGTTCTTTCTGCCTTGAATTATTTCCATGGTTTAAACTGTTTCATTGGTAGATGTAGAGAACCTGATGACCACTTTCAGATGCCTTCCTGTTACTGAGTTTCCTTTATTTCAATACGTGGCATGCACAGAGCATCAGTGGTTGTCTAATTGTCTTCATCAACTATTTCAGACTAAAAACTCGCATCACAATGTCAAGATCCTAAATGTAGCAAGAATCTCAGTTGATCATAAATAACAGAGCATTCAAGCTTATGTAGAAATCACTCCATCTGAAGGAATATTCCCTGCAATATATCTCAGGTATCAAATCAGAGATCATACAGACAATCGCTTTAAAGACCAACAAGTTATCAAATGACATAGACAAAGAAATGATTACTGTCAGGGCAATCACCTTCCCACAAAATGACTAAGAAGGGGAAAAGATTCTTTAAGAAATTAAGCAGACCTGTAGCTATCATCTTTGTAAGCTGACCTTCACTGGGGAAGTCAATGCAAATGCAAGCAATAGTACCAAAATTCAAGGGGCAGTCATTGGCTATTAAAACACAAAAAGCTAACAACTCTCTATGCACCACAAGACTATTTTTGCATTTGTCTTACAAATACAGTTTTGCAACAATGTCACAGCTACTAAAAAAGAAAAAGCTATGGGGAAAAAGGAACTATGTTAAAATGATGAGACACAACATTTATTTTGTTTTGTTTATCATTTTGATGTTTTGTTTGTTTGTTGCAGTTCTGGGGATTGAACCCAAGGCCTTGGCAATGAGCTACATTCCCCAGCCCTTTTTCTTTTCTTTCTTATTTTGAGAAAGGGTCTCACTAAGTTAACTGAGTTGCCCAGGCTGGGTTCAAAGTTGTGATTCTCCTATCTTAGTCTCCCAATCTCGAGATTACAGAAGTTGTTTTTTGTTTTGGTTTCCTTTTCC